GCTAATTTTTTAGTAACTTACTTTAAGCTAGTTGAAAAGTCATGCAGAGTCGGACAATTGACTACTGCGTAGGACATCGCCATGTTAAAATAGTCAGTTGGCTCCATTAAGAATAATCCAAGAATCAACCATAACTAGTTGATGAAAAAGTCGGCTCTTAATGCATTTAAAGTTAGTTGAGTTGCTGGCAGGGTAATATTGTATACATATACATACATATCTACAAGTAACAACTGAACTATTTGTGTTTGGGGTTACCCCCGGCAGGTTTTCCACTTATTTACTCATCATATCAATTAAGGTTATTAAATTTTCATTTATTTATGTATTTTTTATATGTATTATTAAAAATATATTATAAATTAATAAAAAAAATTTTAATTTGATTCAGGTATTTATTGAAAATCAAAACGAAACGATTGGAAACGGTAAAAATCCGTAAAGTTTTAATTATTTTCATTTTAATATTGTTAAAATTTTTTTATTTTGTATGGTTAGGTTGATAGGAGAATGTATCTACTTCAAATCCGAAGAAAAACACCTAAGCCGCTATTGAGCATGTTGTGCGCTCCTTTTCGTGGAAAATGCGTGTTGGTAAAAACAAGAACCTTATATAGTATTCATCGTCCGATGAAAGGAAACTCAGTTTCCTGGGCGTAGTTCCTTAGAATTTTCCAATCAGTGTTCGTGAGGGACGGTTACCCACTCTTAAGATATTTGGATCCAATTTCGACGTCAGCCTGATAATGGCAAAAAAAGTGCTCCAGAGTTTCACTGCCCTCTCTACATGCTCTACATTCCTCTGAATCCACACGTCCAATTCTGTATAGCTGTGTCCGTAATCATGTGTGTCCACTCAGAATGCGTACCTCGGACTTGCATATTTTGTGGATGCTTCTAGTTAGTGTCTTCCCATAGGATCTTTGTGGTTCTACCCACCGTTTCATTATTCCAGAAGCCTTATGAGTTTCGCTCACCCATATATTTAAGTATGCTCTCGTTGCGTCGAATGGGTTTGCGATGGTCAGGTTAACTCGGTGAACGTGTATATATCTGTTGAACGGTGGTATATATCTGTTTCCGGGTCATAAATATAGAACCCCTGTCACACATTATCCCCCAATATATAGCCATCCGTATAGCAACGGATTTCTACGGCTATTTGCTCTATGTTCCACTTAACCATATCTGGCATCAGCATTTCAAAGTTTCCGACATATTCTGTGTCTGGTATGCGATCGGGCACTTCCGATGACTGTGTATAGACTTCCAATGGGTCTAGTATACATTGACGATGAGTGTCCTGTAACCGCCTTTGGCCAGTTCGGCTGAATTGCCGCCTGATATCTTATATATCGTCACCTGAAACGCAATCGGCTCTAACTAACCAAAAATCCAAAATCGATTTTATTGCAGATTCTAATGTATTGCATCAAAACAAATGTCCAAAAAATAAATTAGACTCCACCGACCAAAATTATCGATTTTATTGACAAAAACCAAAAGGACCTATCTACAAAAATATTTAAATATTAAAGGTAAAAAGTCCAATTTATCCATTTTTATGTACGCCAATGTCAACTATCATAACAAATAATTCACCATTAAACAATTAGTTTATTTTATAAAAATAAATAGCGCTGATAGAAACAAATTTTTCAATTTAAATAGATTCTTGCTTCTCATGTAAATGTATGTATCAATGGGCGCAGCCTTGGTAGTTCACTTACTTACAATAAGACTGACATAACCCAAAAACATCCTTTCGATAAAAACGGATAAAAAAGGCCAATAATGTTTTATGACGATTTTCATCGGATGAGAAAAATTCTACTTTCTCATTTGAGAAACTGGAATTTGTGCCCTTTAAAAATATCAAAGAATGGTTCCTTGTTTTCGTAAGTGTACAAATTGTCGTTTTCGTTTAAATAAAATCTCTTTAGTGTTGTCATATAATTAATGCAATACTTGTATCAATTTGAATAAAAAATTGGAATTGTGTGTCGTCGCAATTTATTTCAATAAGTTTATTAACATAAAATCCAGTTCAAATTAAAATCAGGAATATCTTTAGTAAAAGGCTAAAACAGTTACAAAAATTATAAAAACAGATTAACTGAAGAAGTCAAATTCGACAAAAGAATACTCTACAGTGATAATTATTTATTTTATAAAATTTAGTTAATTACATTAAATACATCTATGTAGCTCACAAAATATTGACAGCATTTTTGAGAAACGATATCTTTTAATGAATTATACTTTTATTTTCGTTGGAACATCAGTGCCTTATTTGTTCTCCATACACACGGGGCCACTCTACTCCACATAATTTTTTTAAATCTATTATACTGCGTTTAAATGTAGATTAATATTGTATGCTTTATGATGCTATCAAATATTAAACACGACTTTAAAAATAAAAACAAATCAGGTGCAATCTTTTCATTTAAATTTCCTGTATAAAATGTTTCATTTTTTTTTTATTTACAAAAAAGTACATGAATGCATCATGTTCAATATTTATATCAGCGGAAAGGAGATTTGATTTGAAAGTAACAGGTTTATTTTTAAATGAATTTTAATTACAATCGTCAATTCATTAGTTGTTGCTTTCATTCTATTTGTATCTGCAAAAATAAAGAATTTTAATTAAATATTTTTTTATAATCCAGTCAATTCTTAACAGCCCAACAATGTAAATATAAATAGATTACAAATGAGATTGAAATGAAATGTTAATTTAATAATAAATCTATAAGAATGTGGAATAATTTCATAAAAAATATACCTTAAATTCACAGCATATTTTATTGAATCAAAATTGATTGTTTTTACAAATAATACATTCTAAAATCACAGTTTAAAAAATTAACGCACTACATCCGGCATTCCGGCATTTTAATAATTTATAATGGAATTATTGTATTAATACCTGCTATACTCGTATAGTATCAGTATGTACTATATTTGTTATGTATGTATGTATGTATGTATGTATTTTAACATCTGTCGTATCTTTTGTTTTTAAACAACAATTAAATACACGTTTATGTTATTGTTTATTTTTTATTATTTGTATCTTTATTAAAGTGTCACAATCGATATTAATATGATAATGTGGAGTACAATATACATTATTGTATTTGGATTTAATGTATTTTTTTATACTGGTCTTGGAATTGCAAAATGAGTCATCATCTTCGTTGGGGATAAAATGTGAGAATATTTATGTACATACATACATATGTATGTATGTTTGAGAGTAAGTCGATATTTCAAAAGAAACAAGAAAAGTACGTTTTACCAAACAACATACAGAAAGTCCAACGACATTTAGTTAATGGGGATATCCCCAGTCATAATAAATAGAAACAGACTTCAACAAACAACAACAAAAAAAGAATGCATGGATGTCTTGTCTGAAACTGATACACACTGTGACGTAGTTAATTTTTCCGCTAACTTAATGCAATATCGTCACATCTAAAAATTTAATTTTTTGAAGCGTAATATCTACAAAATGTAAAGTAAAGTTATTGTTTTTATAAATAATAAAGGCCTGCACAAGACAACAATAATCCGACAATTTGTTAAAAAAATATCGTGTGCGCCGTCACGAAATTTTTCAATATTAATATACCTATGAGTTGAAACTTTAAAATGCAATATTTCCAAATTGTGGTACAGGCAAATCCCGGTATAACGAATGATATAATGTCAGGCCCTTTCGTTAAATCGAAATATTCGTTATATCGGAATTATTTTTTCTAGTAAATTTCTTTATTTAATGGACAAAAAACCATTCAAATTAATGTATGAAATTATTACTTCAAATTTTATTTCAAACAACTAATAACAACGCACACGTTTTTCCATTTTGAACATCTGAACGGATTGAAAAATTTGATTTTAGTTTTCTAACAACTTTAATTTCCTTCTATTTCCTTAATCTTATTTTATTATCTAGAAGATAGAATTAAACTCTTTTGAGGAAAAACTGAACTTGAGAATCGATAACTGAGTCTCATGCTGATAATTTCAAAACCCTGGAATATTGCTATTGGGGTATCGAAATAATTTATTTTGCTGTAAAATTTTATTATTTCAATGTATCCCTTTTAAACACTATTCAAGCTAAATTTACCATTAAATTCACATCTAACAGATTTATGCTTTTTAGATTATAATGTAAGGAATTTTGATCGATAGGTCAGATATGTAATATAACTAAAATTAGGAATAAGGCCGACTTCTTTCATTTTTACATTATATTCTAATTGCTCAATCAAGTTTTTGATATTAACAATATAAATATTTGATATTAACAATATAAATATAAAATCAAAAGCTGGATTTTTTTAGGTATTTTTTCTTTTTATTCGTTATATCGAGTATAAAATTTCTTAAACGTTCGCTATATAAGGTAGTTAATGTTAAAAATTTGGCTATTCGTTATATCGGATTTTCGTTAAAGTGAGATTCGTTATACCGGAATTTGCCTGTATTTAGAATTTAAAAAACTAGCGACCAATTTTTTCCCCGCCTATGACTTCTACTTTTAGATTTCATACATGTAATTTTGGATTTAACATACAAAATACGTTCAAAATAATAATAATTAATACAAAGTTGTATTTTTTACTTAGGACGATTTCACTTTAAGTTGTAGATATATAATTTTTCATTAGATATAGAATAACAGTTGTGGATACCAAACAAGTGTTGTTATTTTCCTATTAATTGTTCTATTAGATTATAATATTTACTACTGTAGTAATATTCTGTGTTAGAATAAACTTTTCCTTTTTGTATTACGTCTTTGTTATAGGAAAATTTCTGTAATCCAAAATATTTCCAATCTCATTCAGGATAAAAATGTTTCGTTCCAAGACCATTATGTCTCGGGTCAGTTTTCCCGTTTTTCCTACTGAGCGCGTCCCCGGGTGGCGGATAGGGGCTGGTGATGGACCATCTGTCCTCCCCCAGTTTTAGTTTCACTCTAGCTGAGGAAGGGAAGATTGTCCACCACCTAGGAATATTATATTCCCCACAGACCAAAAAACTGGAAAAAACAAACATGGAAAATAAAAAGATAAAAGTTACGGTGCAGGGCCTAAATAACCTAGTACCGGCGACAAGTGTTGATCTACTCGCGAGTCACGTGTCGTCGTCATGCAATCGTGAGCAAAATACTACTACGGAAGTGGGTACCTTGGCCTCCGTGACGAACAATGCATCAAGTTTACAGTATGCCATTGGCAAAAACATAGGAGTGAAAGAAAAGGATGTACTCGGAGAGAGCTCTAAGCTACCTCAGCCTTTAAATATAGGTGAGGGTTCCGACTCTGAATCCTCAGATGATAACAACAACACCATTATAGCAAATCCCAAGAAGGATGAAGAAGAGCAAATGGTGAAAGAGGTAAGTGATAGCATAGCTAAGCTACCTATTACTAAAAAAAAAAACTATTCCAGTAGACCAGCAGAGTAAGATAGAAGATCTGGTGAACAATAAGATAGTGGACCACGCAATCGCTTCAAAGGGCAAACAACCAATAGAGAGCGTGAGCTGCGAGTTCAGCATGGGCGTGATGTTGATGAGGTTGGCATCCCACCCTAAAGAACTTGGTGGAAAGCATCCCTCCTCCCTGGGACGGCGCTAAGCTGGGACTGGCAAGAATCGACAAGAATTCCATGGCTAATCTTGCCAAGAATAAAGGTATGGTTTACTTCGCCTCTAAAGCTGTCATATTCAAAATTGGGAAGGTGCCGATTGGAAGGGCTGTTACGGTAAGCCCCGAATAGGACGCTAAAAACCCTAAGATCACAGCATCAGTAGCCACTACTGACAAGGTTGAGGAGTCAAATACTAAAATCGACTAACTCCTATGGGCTGACCCTGATGAGAGCAAGACGAAAAATCTTCTCAAAATGAGCAAGTCTGAAGTTAGTATGATGATGATTCAGATGAATGTAGAGCACGTGAAGATGACAGTGAAACTCAGGAGCACTTTCTTTGCCACTGCCAGGCATTCGTCGAAGTTAGATCCAAGTATCTTGGAAGTGATGTTATTCTGGAAATAACATTCCTGACTAACACTGATTGGAAGATTCTTAGGAATTACGTCCAGGAAACTGAGTTTCTGAACACTGAAAAATAATTCATTCAGTGAATTTGTTTTTTCTTCGTGAAAAGGAGCACACAACAGGCCCGATAGTGGCCTAGGTGTATTTCTTCGGATTTGATGTAGTATACATCCTCCTATCAACCTAACCTAAACTAAGACCATTATGTCATCGTTATTAATACTCCCCTGTAATTCCCAAACATTTTAAATTATTCCAAAAACATGTCAATTAGAATAAAACAATTTTTGTTTTTTTTTTCAACTTTTGTTTTTATTATTTTATCATAATGTTTGCTTCTTATTCTAGCATTTGCATTTATTATAACTTTCTCTGGTAATTGTTTAAAATATTTGTATTACTATAATTAAATTTTTTTAAGTTCATTTTATATTTTCAATTTTGTAATTCAATTGTTTATAGGAATTTGTGGTAAATTAAATGATTCGTATTCATTTTTCCCATATTTGTAACATATAATTTAATTTTTATTTATTTATATAAATTAGTGTCAGTATATAGTATAAATATTTACAATAAGTTTTCATCTTTTTATTAATATTTCAATTTAAATGTTTCTTTATTTTATAATTTATAAAAAAGAATGAAAAAAATGTTACAGTTTATATAATAGGTAATAATAATATTAATAAAATAAAAACATAGTTATATCTTTTTTAAAAGATACATTTTACGTTAAAGCCGAATAACAAAATGCTTTTGTTTAATCACCGACTTTAATGTCACGTGCTAAACAAAAAGTATTTATTAATTAATTATTATTTATAAGTCAGAGCAAAACATTTAACAAATTTTTTTTACATTCATGAATTCATTGATTTGTTTTTACTTTAACATTATATTCTGTTTAAAAAAGTTTTGATAGTGTTTTTTTAGTTTTTATTTTGGATTCAAATTTTCCACCAGGAAAATATTTTAATAAACGTTTTCTTAGAGCTTGCAACTGTAAAATAAAACATAATATTAAACATACAATATATTTTATATTTATAAAAATCGAAAAAGTGATCAGCTTATCAAAAATTAAAAAAAAAATTATGAAAGGATCTGAATTAAGATTAAAAAATCTATTAGATGTATATAATTTTTTAATATTGTTTTACTATGCGCAGTGGATCTGAGCGAAAGGTACAATATCAATTGTTACAGATTGACAGACATAACGTTTGTGGAACAATATCAGTATGATGGTGGAATCGTTGGCTTTATTGCCATGCCATGAAATTATTCACGTTTACTATAATTTTTAATAAAAACTTATTAAATTTCATCTTAAAATGAATTAAATTTTGCAAACCACTGTGAAATGTTTTTCCACGTTTGTTGCATTTTTATCTTAAAAACGAAAAAAATTTGTTTAATATTAGTTTCGTATTAAGTGAATAAAATAATTTTGTTTTAACTGTATTTGACATTTTGCTACGCAATGTTGTCTGTCTATTTATATACCTATTTTCGAGAAGGTAAACTGATGGCCAAAGTAGGCATTTTGATGTTAAAGTATTGTATTGCAATACAGGAGAAACATTTTATTAAGTTTATCATCTAAACTTATCGCGTGATCTTTCCAAACTACTGTGGTTTCATTAGTTAAAGAATTCTATTATCGAAACTACCGCTACAGAAATCGAAAGTAATTGTTTTTGTTTCTCCCTCTTATATTTCTTTTAATATATTTAAACCTTTGTTGTAAGGTTTTTTGTTTTTATTTTTTATATTATGATTTTTTTTAAGATGTTATTTGTTGTTGCTTATATTATTTTAACTTTTTATTTTTTTTTTTCACTCTTAATATTCTGTGTTGAAGTAAGTTTTTTATTATGGCTTAGATTAAGTTTTCTTTCTAAACCCGATGTTGAAAATAAAAAAGGTTTAACATTAACTTTGTGTGTGTGCAACAAATACATTTAACGTTTCAAATTTGTGTTTATACCATTTTATATTTTCATTAATGGCTACTAATTTATTTAACAAAGACTTCTTTCTGTTTTTGCTTTTATTTATTTTTCTTGCATCATTATCATGTTTAACAATTTCAATAGTAAATTTTAAATATGTATGTCTTAAGTATGTAATATGTAATTTTTAACACTTGTTTGTTTAACTATGTTTGTTTCAAAATTATGTATGTTTTTGCTTAAAAGTATTTGTATTCCTTTAAAATATTATTATTAAATAAATATATGTATAAATATTTATTTTAGTATGAATGTATTCACGAGTATTTATATATATATATATATTCCGTTATACGAATATATATGTATGTATATAGTGGATACCGTTGCTTCTTATAACATTTATGCATGTTTAATCTCTGGCGTTAATTTGGTTCATCGGTGCATAGCTAGTGTTTGGATACGAAAATCTTTCTCTCTTATATTTGATTTTCTCTACATATAATAGTAGTTTCTATTTAAATATCAAGGACACTCACTGAGTGTGTTCGTGTGTGAATAAGAGTTAGTGACAGAGAAAGAGAGCTGTTCGAGAAACAAGTTTTTAATCCTTTTTCAAAACTGTTACACTTAAAACTGTAAATACAATTAAGTAAAAATTTCAATTAAACAGAAAGTTTTACTCAGGCGATGACATTTATTTTGTAATTTAATTAATTATTATTGATTGTAAGCGAAAATATAAAGTATGACAAATTCGTTGGTTGTTGAAATGATAAATTAATACATTTAATGTTAAAAATTTTTGCAAAACAAAAAGTAAATTGTATAAAAATTATATATTTACTTAAAATTCAAATTATAAACAAATATGCATAGCAACATGATCCAGCAACAATTATTGACAAAGATTTTATGTCAATTATCTCAAATTGATTACAGTAGATGAACATGATCGATTTGTTAGAAACAGTAAAACAATATAGATGCTGCTGGACTTAATTTAAATGCAAATGTGATATTAAAGTACATATGTATGTATGTAAGTATGTATATAAATTGAATTGATATACATTCTATTTTGACTGGGGTCACATAAAAATGTAATTGATGCAGACATCCAGCAAAAAAATACTAAGCAAACTCCCATTAGTACATAATAAATTCATTTCACTCTTTTGATAGTTATATTCATTCCATTATCATATACATTTTATATGTATGTATATAGAGCTTGCTCGTACATAAAGCTTGAATATTTATGCAGCGAGATACATATACATATATTCATTGTTAAGTACACATATGAAAGGTTGAAACTATGAACCTAATTTTTGCAATTATTCGAAAATGGGAAATTTTGTGAAATTGATATTTCGAATATCGAAAACGACAAATGCAAATTCCTGTGTAATTTATATTCACCCATATTCTGCATTTCGATTACGTATACGCATTCAGTTACGCTACGATAGAAAAATAGTATTCCAACTAAAGACTGAATCTTAAAAAAAATCAATTCCATTTCGTTTCAACACTTTACGATTGTGTGTATTCTGCATTACGATCGTAGATACGTTTTTGTAAGTTGTTGTTTATGTGACGGAGAGTCGAATCGAAATGCAGAATACCAAAGTTGCCAAACGGAGAAATATTCGATTCGAATTGAAATGCAGAATGTTAAAAATTTTAGATGTTAATCCTCATTGAATATGACAACAACACTCCTAATTTGTGAAATTGAGAAAAATGTAAAAAAACTACAGCAAGGGCACTTGTAATAAGGAGTATTGCATATAATAATCTGATATATGTAAGATATCTGTTATTACTAGAACTATCTCAACTTGGATCCTCACTGTTATAAATTAATTGACATTGCTACATAAATCAAAATTATACCTTAAAGAAATAGGCAATGATCACCAATAATAAACACCTGATCAAGCCATTAAAGAGCCGAAAACAAAAGTTTAAAATATTATAGCGTTTAATAAGCTACGTTATTTTAAATATCTCACTTCTTTAAGAAAATTTGTAAAAAGGTCTTTGGTTTGGATTGTGGTTGTGCGAATATTATAAATTTTATTTATCTTTTGAATTAAACACAAATTATTTCCTTAGGCCTTTTAATGATTTTAAGATCAGATTGACACCGGACATATCAGAAACATCTTAGAATTATTTTACCTATTTTCCTTAAAGTCGGAAAATTTTAATTAAATAAAACTTAATTTTTCTAAAACTGTATCTCAAAAGTTTTAAGGCACTGGAATTACGTAACATTATCTTCCCTCGGTATACTCCAAAGCTAATTAATTGATGTAATTATTTAAATTTTAAGAAATTATAAACAACTTATAGTCAGTCCATTCGTCAGTTTTCTTTACTTCAAATTGAAATTAAGTATACACCGAAATCTATTTTTTTCCACTGAATAAAATTTTCATCTACATCATTTTTATTTATCCTTTTTATATAAATAAAATATTTTAATATGTTTTTATTCACATTTTTTGAAAGCATATCAATTCAATTTGAAAAAAAAAATAAATAAAAAATTACACATAATTTTTGTTGTTTTTCTATATTTGATTCTCAACATTTATAATGTTTAACGAAAACAAATAATTTTATTTCCAATTACTAATAAATACTATTTAAAAATGTAAAAATTTATTGCCATAAAAATATAAAATAAAACAATTTAACTAAATTATTCGACGTTGTGATTTTTAATTATTAAATTTCAAACGTCTTTGTATAAAAAAACTGTGGGTTGGTTTGATAAATTTATATCCTTCTTAAAAACAAAAAAATATTGAACTTTTTCATGGTCATTTAGTTTTTAAAGAAAATAAACTAAAAAAAACAAATAAAAAAATCTAAAAATGTAGAACGTATTTCTGTTCTGTTCCTTTTCATTTTTGTTATTAATGTTATATACAAAATGTTATATGTATATATTGTAGTTGTATATTTAATATGTATGTCAGCTAACAACGGGCAGAAGTAGGAGGAGGAGTAAATGAGTGAGTTTAGAAGCTTTTTAATAAAATTTTAGTAGTCATCATTATAATCATCATCGTCATCATTCGATTCATTCGATTCTCCAAATAGTAGGCTCATACTACTTTGATGATGTATCTGAAATATTGAGCAACGTAGAAAAGAAAGAAGAGGGGATACTAAAACTTCAGGAACTATTTCATTTTAAAAACATTTTTTAATGAATGAAACCAAAACTAATCTCTAATCGCTATTACTTAACAAAATATGGTGGTAGTAGTGGTAGTAAATAAATAATATTATGTACAATCATATCCCTGATGTTGGTAATAAAATATATGTATATTTTCATATGTATATATTTATAATACTGACAACATTATAAGTATTAAGGAAAATATGTATGGAAACGATTAAAAATCCGTCTAAAACCATATTTTCAGTTTTTATTAAAATCCATAACCAAATTAAAAAAATCCAAACCAAAAACAAAAATAAATAAAAAAATTAATGACTTAATACCATAACCAACACAACAAATATGTATATAGAAAATGTAATATCCTTTAACTATTAAAATAATCATCATCATTATAATTGTTATCATTATGTTACACCTTTGTTATGAACAAGTTCTTTCGACATATACAATATTGGCTAAAACGAAACAATTTTTTTCTCTAAATTTATTGTTATTTCAACGCCTCCATACTATACTATTCTAAGCCGACAGACTTTGAACATTGTTGATGTATTTGTGATTCTATGTTATATATTCTTTACTCCGGCCATAACTCCGGCAATCTATTCAAAAGTTATAATAAAATATATACAAAAGTTATATAAAAAATTATTCATAGCATACATTGATTTAATGAAAGAAAATGTACATCGTTCATCTACTATAAAACTGACATAATCTAAAAAAAGTCGTTTCGAGAAAAACGACTTTGATTGAATATTGACATTTACTATTTTATAAATAAATTTTAAACAAATCAAGGGATTTGAAAAATTAAACCAGATTCCGATAGTAGAGGTTAATATATTTCTCATCTAAATTGAAATTTAATATTTATTTATTTATAAGAGACCTAGTAAATGACCTATATATATACTTCTGTAGGTTATAATTATAGGTATAAAAAGTTTGAGAGTTGCTCCTGAAAACATGGTTTCTCGACTTAGAACAGTTTCGTTGAGAGGCGTCAATTTAACACATTTTCGAAAAAGTCACAATTTACGATTATTTTTTTATTAAACTTATCAACTTATTTTAATTTAACCGACAATAAATTTTAAAGTAATTATTTCTACATTGAATTTCGAAATTTTATAGATCGAAGCGTTTTTCGATATCAACAATCTATGGTTCTATTGTTGGCATGAAACTTTCGTATTTTGCAATCAAAAGCAGAAATAAATAAACTTGTGGAGAGTTTTTTGTTTTTAGCCAATATTGGAGTTTATGTGGGAAACACAGAATGAGGAAACATTTTAAATGTGATTTACGTTTGATGAATTTGTATGTTGTGTGTATGATGATAGCTTTTTATAATTCACTGATCACTGAGTTTTTTTTTTTTTTTGCTCCAAAGAAAACAAGTTATTTTTGTTTTGTGTAACGATTATGAATGAGTATTTTACATTTTTGCGAGTATGTGTTTAAAACATTTAAAAATTATTTATATTTTTTTGATAGCTTTTTAATTTTTTTTGCATTTTTGTTTTTTAAACTTAAATATTAAACTAAATTGCATAGTACACTGGGCCATAGGTAAAAGACAACGAGTTTTTAATGTTTGTCTTTTTATTTATCTAAGGCCAGCGATTCATAACTTCTAGTGAATGGAAAAGTGTAAGAATAAGACAGAGAGAGAAGGAAAGAGATGATGAAAGTGCTTATAAGTATGTACAGTGTCTCTCATAAGTATTCGAATTTAGGTAAACTATGAAAAGAAACCAAATTTAATAATATATTTTGTGTGGAAAATAAATAAATAAATTTGTTATATTGTCTAGATAGTCCTTAGTTTTGATATCACGCCCCTTAAAACTTGAAAACTTTACATTTACTTAAATTAGTTGTGCTTTTTAAAAAAAAGTCCATGAAACTACTTCACAAAAGTATGCGAATTTTCCTGTATTTCATATTTGATCATATTATACGATACACAAATTTTAGAATCGCATGGTTTTATGCTTAATATTGTTTTAAGGGGTTACTATCAACCGCATGGATATATTTTTGACCCATTTGGTCCACAATTTTGGGGGATTTGTACCCTCTTTTCATGTAATATCATTAAAATGGTGATTTTTGGCTATACTTGTAATGTTTTCACCCTTTTTCCAGAGATAAAACCAAAATTTAATGTTGGAATTTAATAGAACCCAAAAATAATATTTTTTGTTATAAGGATCTGTACTTAAACGTTCCAAGATGTATTTTTGGTATCGTTTTTCAGTTTCTAATTGAATTATCTGGATCATAAGTCCCTTTTCGTACCTCTAGGGACGATATTTTTCGACAAAGTTGTCTAGTGTATATTCATGTACATATTGGCACTAATGTATTTTAAATTTCCAATATATTATAGCGGTATACAACCCCAAAACATGCCTTAACAAAACGTCATCCTATATAGTAGATTTCAGTTTTTACTACTCGTAACTTTCACGCTTATGTTGCCCGTTACAATAACACTGTAAGTCCTAAATTTTGGTTTTAATTTGATCATAGTAAATAATATTTAAACACATATCAACATTTTTCATGTGATCATAATGATATCGTGCCATGCAGCATGGAGGCCATTGGTATATAAAAATAATGATTTTACTATTTTGAATGGTGCTTCTTCGAGGCATGTTTTGGAGTTGTACACTTCCACAACACTTTGAAAACTTAAAATGTATAAAAGCTGATATCTAAAAGAATATATACCAGAAAACTTTCCTCGAAAATAGTTGATCCTAGTATTATAAAAATGGACTTAAGTTCCAATATATTGAATTAGAGACAGAAGAATGATCCGAATAATTTATCTTGGAACGTTTAAATACAGATTCTTGTAACAAAAAATATTATTTTTAGATACCCCAAGGGGTCTTTTAAGTCCCAATATCAAATTTTTATTTTATCTCTGGAAAAAAGGAGAAAAATTTACAATTATGGCCAAAAATCGCTATTTTAATGATATTACATGAAAAGAGGGTACAAATTCCCCAAAATTGTGGACCAAATGGGCCAAAAATATATCCTTTCCGTGGATAGTAACCCCTTAAAACAATATTACGCATAAAAACCATTCGATTCTAAAATTTGTGTTGCGTATAATATGATCAAATATGAAATACAGGAAAAATTCGTATACTTTTGTGAGGCAATTTCATGGACTTTTTTTAAAAAAGCACAATTAATTTAAGTCAATGCAAATTTTTCAAATTTTAAAAAGCGTGATATCAAACATAAGGACTATCTAGACAATATAACAAATTAATTTATTTATTTTGCACACAAAATATATTATTAAATTTGGTTTCTTTTTATTGTTTACCCAAATTCGAATAATTATGAGAGACACTGTATGTATGTATATATATAAAAAATATAAAATGTAAATGTAATATATGTATTGTATGAATAATGTTAATGAATGTTTTGTATGAATTAATGAATTTCATAGGTAAGTAAAATGAATGATCGTTTTTTGTTTGTTATAGCCATGTATACATTAAAATAATATTTATTGTTTGTTTTGTGTTTGTAAAAAACATTAACAATTTACTATACCTTGCTGGAATATTGCGCTTTTTGTGTTGTACTACTGCCACTGTTATTAGAGTTAGAGTGGTTTTGTCCAGCAATTGAACCATTTGTTGCATTTGAAGCAACTACTCCGGCAGTCATTAAACTGCTGCTACCACCACCGTTTGATTTCGAAGAAGAATCGTGATTGCGTTTCTTATCCTTGTCTCTCTCGCGGTCCTTTTCGCGGTCGCGATCTTTTTTCTTGCTACTGCTGCTGCTACTATGCGTCGTTGTTGAGAGGTTGGAGTGTGATCCTGCGGCGCCGTAAGAAGAATATGCCATAGATTGGTTATGGGCATATGATGGATGCGTTGTCGCTGCCAAACCGCCGCCCATGTCTGTTGAGCCACTGCTATAGCTCTCCAGTTTATCCTTGGATATTTTGATTTTTAAAACCGGAGGAGCATGCGATGGAGCTGAATCTGTATTTGTTTGGCCGGAAGAACCTGTATTAAGATCTCCCATTATACGATCTTTAGGTATTTTTATTTTAAACCCAATTGGTTCTCCAGCAGCCTCCAGCTTTTCTTTAGAAATTTTTATTTTAACGTGTTCCGCAACTCCAGCAGCACTTGAATTTGCGTTGTCGTTGTTGTCCCGATCACGCTCCTTATCTTTATGGCGGTCTTTATCTTTTTTGTGTTTCTTTCTTTCTTCCCGATCTTTCGACTTGTCCTTTTCTTTGTGTTTATGTTTGTCCTTTTTCTTCTTCTTTTCCGACTTACTACCCGACGTGCCATGATCATCGGTCTCCATGGCGGAAACATCGGAATTGCCGGACAGAACATTATTGCTAATCGATGTTATAGAGGTGTTATGTTGACTTGTTGATGAGGTAGTGGCAGAGGGTTCAAACAATTCGGCAGGTGGCTGTAAACTTGGTGTGACAATGGAAGGTGTGCTACATAGACTCTCCTTTAACAGATTTCGTACTAGATCTGGATTGGTTTCTATGCCGTTCACAACCTGATGCTTACCATTGTCATTGCCGGCAGTCGTATCAATCTTTCGTATTTTGCTGTCACGCATTAATAAATCGTCTTCTTGCTTAATGGTGACCGTTTCGTTGGGACGTTTAATACCGCCAATCGTACCCATATTACTTGTACCAGCAAGTTCGTTAAGGCCTGTTAATGAATTTGATAATGACGAATCAAGTTTTTTGGGAATTGTAGTTTTAGGAATTTGTTGCTGTTGCTGCGTTGAGGCATGACCAACAGCCGACCGTCCGTTATCTTGATTAGACGAATTAGAGCGATTCTTTTCCTTCTTGGAAGGAGTGTCTCGTTCGCTTTTTATCTTTGGAGGACTACTTTCCTTATTACTTATGGAGCTAGAAGGTATTTTATAGCCGCTGGCTGCATAAGCCTCAGGATTTTGTGTCAAATTTCCGGAACTATTCATGTAGTTGTTAAGACCGCCGCCCGGTACCGGTGGTGGTTGCACCTGTTGGACAATTTGTTGCTCCTGTTGTTGCCCTTGCGGCTTATCATTCCATTCAGGGCTAAACAATGAATTGACAGCTTTGGGCGCATGTTGAGCTTGTTGTTGTTGATGGTATTGGTTTGCAGGATGTTGTGGGGGTTCTTCGGAATGATGTAGAGGTTCAATTTTACTATAATTATTGCTAATAAGAGAGGAGGCGACGTGTGACTGTTGTTGCAGATCATGAGCTCCACTTAAACTGCCATACGATTGATCTGCAGGTAGTGGTTGTGGCTGTTTGTGGTGGTGGGACGCATTTTGCGACTGTTGTTGCATATGGACGGAAATTTGTTGTTTGGATTGTTCATGCTTAAGACTGCTATTATTATTGTTATTGCTGCTATTACTACTACCGTGGCGTGATCCCTGCTGTTGCTGTTGATGAAAGTTGAGTAGAGGTGCTGCAGGACCGTTTGTGGCAGATGGAGGAGGTGGAGGATTGTTATAACCACTTCGCGATGTATGCATTAAGTTACGTGTTATATCATGCATTGTATCAAGTTTAGACGATAATTGACTGCTACTACTGTTTCCTGGCGGCAATTGTAAATTGTTGCCACCATATTGCGAAGACACTGAAGATGGAAACATTTTGTTACTGCTACTGTTGCTGTTACTTTGTTTATTAGCTTGATCTGCAACCAAGCGACCTGAATGATCTTTGGAGGACATCGAACGGCTTCCGTCTTGTTTTTGAGGCAGTTTATGTGGGATAACATGCGGCGGCATGTTGTGACCCGATGATGGTGGTGGCACTGCCATGTTACGCTCTCTTGACTTGTGGTAATTAACCTCCATGGGATGACCCTGTGATGAAGACTGTCTTAGGGGTGGACCACCTGGCAGGCTATTCGACATCGACGACCTAGAAGAGGAGCTGGATGATTTATTGGATGAGGGTGCCATCATCGATGAGGTGTGCTCGCGAGGTGGTCTACTAGGGACCATATTGCTGCCACCGTAAGGCTGTGCTGATTGTTGCTGCTGCTTGCTGTGTCCGGAACTAAGCTTGTGGTCTTTAAAATCAAAACCGTTAAAATCTGTTTAAAAATAAAACAAAAAAATTTAAATTATTACCGGGTACATCGCCAGGTGAATAGCCGATTTTGGCGGGATGATGTGAAGACGAGGATGATGAAGAACTGTGGTGAGAACGGTGTTGACTGGATGAATGTAAATCGGGTTTGCGCATTTGTTGGGGTTGGTGAGGCGGCGGTGGTAACATGGGTTGTGATATACTTCCACTTTGTTGTTGCGACATCGCTTCGCCTGCGGCCGATCCTTGACTCGAGTACTGGGACGAAGATGATTGGGACTGGCTACCTGTATTTACTCCTGTCTCAGCTGGATGATACATTTTCATATTCATCATGTCCGATACCTTCCAATCTTGATCGGCCTTTTTATCTTTAACTTGTCCCTGGCGATTACTGGCTCCTTGAGCCAGTGCCTTAATTGAATTCAATTTCGATTTAAGGCGAGCCGGACTCTTTTCATAAATGGCAATAAATTCATCGGTTAATTTTTTTAGTAGATCCATCGTCACCGTCTCATCCACATAATGGAACCAGTGTTTTCCCTCTGTGGATTGGGGAATCTAACGAAAGGAATGGGACAAAAGTTTTATTGTTACTATAATTTGTCCCAAACGCTATGAAAGATAATAGAAACAGTTCAAGTGAAAAATAATTTACCTCCCAACGCGACCATTTACAAGCCAAATAAATGCAAAAACATGCCACAACCGAGGGTTTGTATTGCAAGCACATCGAAGTCAAATGCAGACTGTTGGAGGCCAAAAAGTAAGAAGTTTGAGCCAAATCCTTGCAAGCTAAAATTTTAAAAGGACATTATAAGTAAAGTGAAGCTGTTATTACAGCATTTAATATGAAAAGTAAATTTAATTACCCTTAACCAATTGACATGTTTTCACAACATGAGTGTGTGGATGATCGATGGCAACGTCGAAGCCCAATGTCTGTAGTAAAACATTTTCATTGAATACCAAATCTTGGGCCTGCTCAAGATAGTAGGTATCTGTGGTGGAGGTAGTTGGCTGATTGAGGCACTTGTTTGCTGCCTTTATAACGTGTTCCAACTTGCGTGGTTGCTCTTCGACCTTTGCGGCCAAAAAGAGACTGGCTGCCGCAATGCCGTTCCGATGAAAATGTGTAAAAGAATGAAATGCATAAAAACGATGCATATACACAATGGCAGTGTTAATGCATAATTGAGAGCTATAAGAGAGTAGAAGGGAATAATAATAATAATGGTTGCCAATAATAAGAAACTTTCAAATTTTTACTCACACTTGAAGTCTTTGACCCATTTCCTGTATAAGATACGCAGTCATCTGGCGGTAGGACAGTTCTTGATCTGGTGAAATTCCAGCTTTACGGCTTGGAGAATTGGCTAATTCTTCGGATGAAAAATACCACATAGAATCCTTGTCCCTGTCGCCACCATTAATGCGAGCAGGTGAAGGACTTGGTATGCCACTCATGGTGCTTGTGGTATTGAAATGAAAGTGGGAAAAGCTTACCAGAAAGTAAACAAAAGAGATGCTACCAACAAAGAATATTTCGGGGAAGGAAAACTAAGAGCAATTGGACCGGATTACTGCCAACATTTAAAACATAACTTTTGAATACAATTTCGTTTGTTTTTGTATTATTAGTTTGTTTGTTTTTCTATGTATTTTCAATTTCTTTCCTATGTGTAATATTCAATAATATTGGCAGGCAGGCATACGTTCAAAAGTACAGGTATGCTGGCGGTCGTCTACTATTACGACGTTTAATTCGCGTTTTTGCTGCTGCTATTTCACTGACAATGAACAGTGCAGTGTCTGCCGCTTTCTTTTCTCTGATGCTGCTACTTCGACTTCTGCTGCTACGAAATTTTTGCGTCGACGCCACTTAACACTACACTACATTTGTATCCCAAGTCAGTCAGATGTGGTTTTTTGTTTTCTTTGTCAAAACAATGACAAATATTTTCACCAATTTGACGGAATTTTTCGACACAATATTCAGTGTAATTTTTTTCTAAAGGATTTTTATTTGGTAGAAAAGACGATGCTTACTCCACGAATTTTAGGAAATTTCCGAAATTTTTTCAGTTTGCCATGAAGCCACGAGTATTTCGAAACGTACACATACACACGCTCGCACACACTTCACAGAAAAATGGAAATGAATTTTTCTTCTTCGTTCACAGAAATCACTTTACACATTTACCGCCTCAAAAACTCCACAAATTATGCAATAGGAGATCTCAAATGAGGACGCAACATTTAGATAAAGTATAATAACACATTTATTTTTGTTTTTCGTGCAAAATATATGCACCAATTGTGATATTTTTCCAGAAAAAAATCTAAAAATTAACACTTCACAGAAAAAATGTATTCACTCACGGGAATGGCCGAACGACAAAGCACAGTGATGTAAACAATGCGTAGTAATGGCAGAGTTGCATTCAATAAAAACACTTATATGCAGAGTTGCTAAAAGTTCAGTAGCTCAAACAAAAAAATAAATAAGTGGTAATAAGATTTGAATTTTTTGTCACGCGTTTTTAAAAGTGAACATTAGATGTTCATATAATGGTGCTTATAGCTTAACGTATCTAATATATATGTTATTATCTTATTTTTTCTGTTTCACACATCTATTATGGTACAATTTTGAGATTTTCTATCAATATTTATTTGATACTTTGGAAATACATTTTTGGAAGTTGCGACTTAACTTGAATTCTACAAAAGAGCAATACGAACTAAATTCACCAATTCTTGCAATGTAATATTTTTGAGACAAAATATGACAAATGTATATTTTATTATCCACGAAAATTAAAAAATCCCAATTTATGATCTTTACGTGGAATTAGGAAACACTGATAAAGCATTTTGGTGCTTCAGGTAAGAAATAAAATGCATATGTTTTTCTTGAAGAAAATTATAAAATACTTAAAACCATATGTGTAATTCTAATCAGGTACATAAATAACATCTTGCTGTAATAAAAAATGTTATTGGCAAATCATACTTATATACAGGTATAAATTTAATAACTTAAAGATCAATCAGTTATGAAATCCGAGTGCAAATCGGACTATTTTTCTTAAGTCCACTTGGGTTACTTCGACAAAGGATTCCACGAAAATCAATAGTCTGTTAGTTTCGAAGAAATATGCTCACTTTCTCAAGGATAACAAATAAAAACATATACATACAGTTGACTAAGTGAGGTGAATTTCTTATTTGTTGAAATGATGTGGCAACCCTACATATATAGAGAGACAACAACAAAACAAATGTCAAATGTATGTCATTGATATAAAAACTAGAAGAAGCATTTATAAATGGTGGTGTAGATTTTTGTTATTTTGCTGATGAAAATATAAAATTTCTTATTTGTAAATTAAATATTCTATCGGAAAATATGTCGAAACAATTGCCACGACAATGTGGACGCGGCGGTGTAGCTAATTGTGGTGGTAACAGTATTGTTGATAAAGATTTACGTGATCAATTACATCAGGAAATTGAAAATAAATCCAAGTCATGTTCCAATCCGACCTATGAATGTACAATACCACGCATTGAAGGCTACGACTATTGTATGCGACACATTTTAAGAGATCCTCGGGGAAACTTCCGCCAGTGTTCATATACCTATTTCAATGGAAAGAAATGCCCAAATGCTCTGCCAAAACATGACTTGAAAAAGGATCCTAATATGACTACGTTATGCTTCGAGCACAATCGACAGGTACAGTTGCAAAAGACGCATGCCACTGTTGGTAAACTGAAGCAAGTGGATACTAATGAAGTGCTATTAAATAGTCTATCACATCATTTACATGTAGAAGAAGTGGTTGGTAAAAATTCTGCAAATAGTGAACAAGATGAAGAAATTGATGTGGTATCACCACATGTAACACCATTTGGTAATTGAAATTGTTTAATTTTTTATTACATTTGCATGTACATATTTTATTGTTGTTTTAATTTTTAGTAAACAATGACCAAATTCATAATCTGAGTGATATTGTCAGGACTATGCGGAAACGTCGACGTATTTTAGACTATGCATCAGACAGTACATCCGATGAAGAAGTTATTTGCATGAATAACACGTCACGAGGGCATGAGTGTAACGAATCCGACAATGAAAGTGTTGACTCTCAAGATGATGATTTACTCAAACATGCTGGCATTTACACGCGACAAGAGGCCATTCGTCTATCGGAGGCTAAACTTACCAAACTTCAAGGCCTTTACATAGATCAAATAAATCGCTTACATCATATTTTACGTGAAAAAAGGCGTCGGTATTTACATGCTATTCGACGGGAACGAGAACATTTATGCAGCATTCATGAGCAATTAAAAGAGACACCCAGAGAACGTGCCCTCTACGAACAATTAAAGGCTTTAAACTCGTACCATAGAAGACATGGCGTAGAAGCGGTCCTTTATAAAAAATTCAAAGAAAAACGTAGTAGAGCGGGCGATTCGAGTTCTGTTTCAAAACATTCGGGTTTCACGAAGTGTATTTTTACCGAAGGCGGTGTTAAATGCGGTGATCGCTCATTGCCATGTTGTAAATACTGTCGCAAACATATTTTGGAAGACAAGAAGCAAATACTTTTCAAAGCTTGCGAAAAAGAGAAATCGGGTGTGGTTTGTCAGGAAGCCATACCTTGTATTTTCGATGATTCAACATGCATATTACATTTAACAATACCACATCAACGCCAATACGTACAAAAGGTATGGACATATTGTTTTAATTTTATTCCACATTAAAATTTTAATCCACTTTAAATCTTCGAAGTATATGCGATTTTCAAAAAAATTAGTATGGAAAAATTTGGATATCAAATAATTCCAGTAACTTCCCAATTGTTTTGTTTGTGAACACTATTGTAACCCTACTGATATACATATGTATATATGTTTATAATTAAATTCTATAAAATTTATCGTCACCTACAGTTTTTTGAGATTATGTGGCACTGTAGATCATATATTATGTTAAATGTTGGCATATTCTAAAAAATTTTTTGCAAACTGTGGTTCCCTTAAAGGATCAATCTAAGGTTCTGCTTTCAATATGCAGCCTGTTTTCCAAAGGATTCTTGACTATTTTCATGAAAACAGCGCCAAATCTATAGAAATCCCTGTCAAAATCTTATGAATATTTCGGCTTTTTCACTTAAGCGCCAGGAAATTCGCAATAGAGAAATAAAATTTGACGTTTAAGCAATGGAAACTCGCATTTCAGATCTATTGGTTACATTTACAGTTAGTGTGAGCCAACGGAAAGCTCCAATTAAAGAAATACTAAAAATTCATTAAATTTTTGAAGTATGGTTTTTTTTGATATGTGTTTGGTTTTATGGTGAAGTGTTAGGAATCTTAAAAAATTGGGCGGAATATTGAGAACAATCTCCTATATAGACACTTTAGGGGAAATAGTATCGTGTAAACCACACTGAACACAGGACGATGACCTAAAGCAAAATATTTATATAACCATTTAGTAACTTGAGCATCACTGTATTAACTGTTTGCAATGACCCCAACAATAAACAGGCCGAAATCGAACCGAAAATGTTTCGAATAAGAAAAATATTACAAAATAATGAGATTTCTAGTGTCACATAACCTAAAAAGCATTGCGTGGCAATAAATGAAGAATGAGCTAAAATTGACACATCTTAGACATAAACTTTTAATTATAGCAAAAGTACAGACTTTTTGTTTAGAACATATTACACTTATATGTATATAAAAGAGTACCGTTACTGACTGACTGATTCATCATCGCACAGCCCAAACTGCTGAACCTAGAATCATGAAATTTTGACAGTACATGCGTTTTTCGTTATGTAGATCCACCAAGGAGGGATTTTTGGAAATTTGTACATTTTGTGGCAAAAAGGGAAAAAAAGGGTAAAACAGGTTTTCGTAATTAAAATAAGCAGATGGGTGTCTGGTACTTTTTTGAAATTCGTACTTTTAAGAGGTGAAAATGTGTAACAAAGGTGATTTTGGTACCTTCTTTGGCCCTTTATAACTTTTTAACAAATATATCTTCCAAAATTATGAGACACCTGTTTCGTACTTTTTTAAAATTCAGTCCTTTTTGCGTGTAAAAGGAAGAAAACTGCATTTTTGGTACTTTTTTTAGCACATTAAGAAAACTTTTTCGATTTATTGAAGTATTCCTATTGAATTACGGACTAACTCTATAATATTTATTGAAACAAAATTTTGCTATTTCACTGGGGAAAAAAGTACCAAAAAGGGGGGAAAAACAGGAAAATTAATTTTATTCAAACTCAAGACAATTTTTATAAAATTTGAAAAAGTAGTATATCGTTATATACTACTATAATATACTATAATGGTTAACCGGAGCACTTGACACACGGTCCTTATTAAATGAGAATTTAATTGTACTTTTTCGTTTTTCCGATGGTACTTTTTGATATTTTTACGATTTTGAACATAGAAATATAAAATATAAAATGTAGGGACCTTAGTGAATGACAATCTACTGAAACGGACTTTTGGTACGTTTTCTTCCATCAAATTATATATTTTAAATTGTATATAATATTGAACACAAAAACACAAAAATTTTAATTAAATGAGAATCTATAATAGGTATTTTATAGTACATTTTGTTTAAATAGTACTTTCAAAATTTTCTATAATGTGGAAGCTAAACGAATGAAACTAAAAATAAAAGCTTCTTCCTGAATGCGAATTTATTCACGTAATATTGAACGTAAAAAAATTAAACATTAAAAAATGTTTAATCAATTTTAATTTTCTATAATAGTAAACAAAATTTTGTATGTATTTAATTTTGATTAGGGTAGCGAAGCACCCAGGGTATGCTAGTAATTCATAAAATGATGAGTGAATGTTGTTTATACCCTACACCACTTTAGTGGGGAGGGTATATTGGATTTGTGCTGATGTTTGTAACATACAAAAATATTCGTCCTAGACCCACCTTAAAATATACCAATCGGCTTAGAATCGTTTTCTGAGTCGATTAAGCTTTGTCCGTCCGTCTGGCTGGCTGTCCATGAAAACCTTGTGCGCAAGGTACAGGTCGCAATTTTCAAGATAATTGGATGAAATTTGGCACGCACGTTTTATTTGACCCAAGGACGAAGCCTATTGAAAATGGTTAAAATCGGTCCATTATTTCACCTAGCCCCCATAGAACAGAACCCCCCGAAAAGGGCTTTTGAGCTCATAATTATGTTAAATATACAGATATATCGATAAAATACGGCACAACTAAGTTTTATAGAAGTCTTGATGACCCTGCCAAATTTCATAAAGATCGGGCCCCATTTGACCCTAGCTCCCATACAAAGTCCTCTTCAGAAAATTACTTGAATGTCCCAAATTAACTTATAAACACAAATATCGCGATGAAATTCAGCACAATAAAATATTATGTAAATATAAATATATTCACAAAATTTTATCGGGCTTGGTCCATATTTGCCCGTAGCCCCCATATAAAGCCTCTTTCAGAAAATTACTTTTTCATCCATAAATTGCTTAAATGTATCGGAACAAGGGAATATTGAAGATAAATGCTTTATTATGAAAAATAAATCACATTTAATATTCATAACTGGTGTAAGGTATCATATGGTCGGCCACGCCCGACTATACTTTCTTACTTGTTTTATATCCAAAATGGGCAATATCCCTACCAAATTTTATGAAGATCGGTCCATAATTGACCCTACCCCTTATAAGGTCCCCTTGAGAAAATGACCTTAACGCTCATTACTGGCTTAAAATTACGAGCATAGTGATGAAATTGGACATACATAAGTTTCAATGTAGCTAAAATTTCTCTATCAAGTTTTATGTGGATCGGTCTATAGTTGAACCTACCCCCACCCCCCATATAAGGACCCATTCAAAAAATGAGTTTAACGCTCATTACGGGCTTAAAACTACTATTATAGCAATGAAATTTGACATAAGTATTTTATGATCCAAAACCTCTCTACCAAATTTTATGTTGATCGGTCCATAATTGACCCTACCCCCATATAAAGTCCCCTTCAGAAAAAGACTAACACTCATTACTGGCTTAAAAATACGACTAAAGTGATGATAAGTTTCGATGGAGCCAAAATCTCTCTATCAAGTTTTATGTGGATCGGTCCATAGTTGACCCTACCAATGAAATTAAGTTTCTTACGAGCCAGATCCTCTCTACTGACTTTTATGAGAATTTGCTACCCTTCAGAAATTGACTTTAAAGCTCATTACTGGCTTAAAAATACTAGAAAAGCGATGAAATTCGACACACATACATATGTTTTATACGAGTTAAGATCTCTCTACCAAATTTATTGAGGATCGGTAGATCGGTTTGAAAAGTTATGAAATTTGATATAAGAAACTTTATAGGAACGTAAATCTTGCTATCGAATTTCATGCGAAAAGTGTCGGGAAGTGATATTCGATGTAAAATGTTTTGATCTAAAAAAATGTATAAAAAACTTTATGAAAAACGGTCAATAATTAACCCTATCTCTCATATAAGGTCCTCTTCAGTTAATTTGATGAGTAATATCACCCTGATGTTTATAGGGGAGCATTCCTTTTAAGGCATACGGTTTGATGGTGGGTATATAGCCGAATATAACACTCTCACTTGTTCGCTTTTATAAGTGATCTTTTGTGAAGGTATAAAAGGTATTGAGATGTTCCCGCTTGCTTATCTTCCGTTGTACTTGTAACAACGAGTAAGAAATTATCTACACTATAAAATCCTAACTTTAGTTATTGGCAAGTTGTAATAATGGAACTGAAAGTACTTAAAATTCATGAAAATATTGTAATTATTCATAAAAAGTTTAGGTTCAGTTTGGAAAATGCATACATATAATGAAAAACATAAATTGTGATAAGAGATTAGTTTTTTAGAATCATTATGATAATTTTCAACAAATGTAGATACATATGTACATATAAAACAAAACAAATCAAAATAAAATATTTTATTGGTCACTTATAGAAATACGAATCGGAAACTGAAGAAGATGAAATTGTTGATGTTAAAACCGAAACAGTCGAGAAACCCTTGTTGGATATAAAATCATCACCCATACTAAATAATGAGATCAACGCTGTAGCTCAAGGAAGCCAAGCAACCGTGACAAAGTGAATGATGTATTTTTCTTTTTCAAAAACAAACACTTTGTTGATTTTAAATTTAATAAATTTTTTACAAATAAAACTAAAAACCTAAATCTTGTTTCAATTTTCATTTAACGTTAGCTGCGAGAAAATTTGAACTCAATAAAATAAAAGTCATTTATATTTTTTAAGAATCTCTTATACATATTAATGTATTTTATATTTTGTATTATTAAAGACATATAACAAAACTTATAGATATAATTTTCTAGACATTTCTTAAGCTAATATTTTGTTTATTTTTTATGATTTTATAGATACAAATTTTATAAACGCGGTTTTGTCATTTAAATGTATTTTTTCTTAAAAATTAAGACTAATGAGGTTTTTGGGGTCACTTTTGTTTTTCATTTTTTATTTTGTATTGAAACCATTTAAAACTAATTTTAATTATAAAAGGATTAATAAATTACTTTCTACTTGATTTTTATACAATATTAAATTTAATAATAACTTTTATATAAACATTTGTTGCAATCTAGGTTATAAAAAGATGACTAACTATTAATGTGATGGGTATTTAATTTAGGATATAAACAAATTTCTTGTAAAACATTTCATAAAGGAATTGAAGGATTTTAATTTCCCAAGAAAAAAACTTTTTACGTCTGTAATTTTACATTTACAAATACATAATGTGTATGTAATGTATACTACAGTTTTAACGTGTGTTTCAGTTCAGTAGAATGAAATGTTATGGCCCAAACGGACGATATACATTTGAGACAATAGTGCGATAATTATAACTTTTATTGTAACATTTCGAAGAAAAAACATCTTTGCAAAGCAAGGAACTAATAATATTGAAATTGCTGATTTTTAAAAAGTTCAAAAGGGCTAATTGAGTTTAATAATTACCTCATTTTCTAAAATAAAATCGAAATATTTGGAAAAATTGGCTAATGATAAATACAATGCTTTAAAATCTCTTTGTTTTATGAACGCATTGGTTTTATGTCACATTAATCTCTTACAAATTTTATAATTTTTTCTGTTCATATATAATTTTCCGTTTTCGTTTAAATTAAATTTTTTATATTAAGTATGAGGTCCAAATGTTGTATTTTTTAGAATGTTTTGTATTACTTTTGGTTTTCTAAATATATTTTTTTCAATCTTTTCAATCTTTAATCGCCATTAAATTATGAAATTTATAATCGTATTTTAATTGACGTTAAAATATTTGAAACATAAAAACGATTTTTTCCTTTTCATTTTGAGGTTAATTTTTTTGTTAAGGTATTTTGAGGTTATGTTTTGTAATAATAATATGTATATCTTTTTTATAAAATATTAATCTTATTTTTCGTTGTACTTATATTTTTATATTTATTTAATAACTTTATGGTTGTACATATATTTTCTTTCTGTAAGTACTTTTTTCGAAAGGGAATTGTCTGTGTGTAAATATAAATTCTTAGTATATATCGTTAAAAATACTTAATTTTTAGATGTTTAGTAAATAAAAATCTCTTAACATTCTAAATTTACTAGTTTAAAAAGACATGGTGTATTTTGCTAAGGAAACCTCCAATCTGAGACTTCACACACAATTTTGTGTATCCTAAATAAACGCATCGACATTTTTCTAAATAATTAATTTAGCTAAATTTTATTTTAATTAATGTATGTATGTATATGTATGTATGTATGTGAACGTTCATAACATTTAGAAATTATACTTACTTGCTAATAAGAAATAAATCAATAACACTGTGCTTCTATACCGATTTGACGATTTCAGAAGGAATGACATGAAAAGTGAAATAATAAATTTGAAATATATTTATTTCAAAAGTTCTCTTTCTAACTATTTTTGGTTTTAAATTTATAAAATGTATGTATGTATATAAATTGGAAACTGAGTATAGAAACTCTTAGATAATATTTTAAATTACAATTCAAATCAAAAATAAGGGTTAAAATCTCTACCAAGTAAATTATTTTGTTGTCCAGCGAAATTTTACGAAAATGTGTAGAGATTTATAGAAAATAAATTAGAATTGTAGAAATTTAATATCAATATATTTATAATAAGAAAAAACATAATTACTGCTTACTATAGGCTTCACTCATGGTCTTTAAAGTTTTAAATTAAATTTTTCAGTTTAATTCTTTCTTTTACTTTTTTGACATAAAGCAAGCTCAGTTTAATATTACGCGACAACTCAAAATTATATATTTTAAAATTTTTTGCTAAAAAAAGTAAAACAATATAAAGTAGAAAGAATAATATTTTTAATTTGTTGTTAAAAAGTTAAGACATCGATGTTTGCTTAAAAAAATAAAAAATTATTTAAAGATTTTCTAATAAAAACAAAAATTCCTTTAGGGTTTGTATAATTTTGCTAAAATTGTTCAATATCTCTCACTCTCTTTTTTCGTCCAATTTTCTATTCTATTTAATAAAAAAAATATATATAAAATAAAAGAAAACCAAATTTATTTTTTAAATAATATAAAGTACTTTTTATTACACAATTTAAAATATATAAACATTTTATTTTTTATTGTTTTTTTTTTTTAATTAAATATAAAGAAAATAATAAAACAAAATAATAAAAAAGAAACTAAAACCAAATCACTATAAAAATATATAAAAAAACAAACAAAAAAATTAAGAAATAAATTTTTGAACATTTTTTTATTTTCATTTTATATGTATGTATGTATGTATGTATAAAAAAGAATAGACTTAAGATTCTTAACAGATTGCACTTTACATAAATAATTTATGTTTTCTTTTTCGGTTTTTTGTTTTCTTCATTTCATTTAATTATTTTTATTGAGTGTAAATTGGGCAGTGTAGGGCAGTTGTTTTCTTTTATTTCATTCAATGTACAAACATTTGATTAAATTTACTATTAATTATTTTATTTTAAAAACAAAATTATGATGTATAGAAAAGTTCTTAAAAACAATTTATTCGAAAGGAAAATTTTGAATTTTGTAAAAAATACAAGAAATTAACAAAGAGGCAGTGCTAAAATTAAGTTCAGGAATTTCAAAATATAAAATGATCTGAAAGCTTTCCAAAATATGTATAAAAAAGTCTTTGAATTTCGTCTTATAGGAAACTTAGAAAGAGAAGTATTAAAACAATTTTGCTTGTTTAAAAACTAATATTGCTATAAAAAATAAAAACTTAATAGAAATTAATTATTGCCATCATGCTTATACCAAAAAAGAGTACGTTCATATTATGTAATTTTGTTATTTAAACAAATTAAGAGAAAATATTTCAATAATACAAATTTTAGATGTATAAATTATTTCTATGACATAAAGGCTTCATATTCAACAATTGCAAACCGTTTTTATTTTATATCCAGTTAAAAAGCATTAATAGCGAAACTTTAGAAAACGCATTTAAATATTTCATGATTAAAAATGAATTATTTAAAAAATTAAATAAAATTTTGAACAATTTTTATAAAAATCAATTATTTATTTACAAAAATTTTGGAATAAATAAATTTAACATTAAAAAAATCCAAAAGAAAGAAAAAATATAGAATTTAAACAAGTTCCATATACGCATTGATAATCATGAAATTTTAACCTTTATTTTTGTAAAAAATTTGGGTATATGAAATATTAACAATTTTTCCAGTTGAATGCATTATTAGAAAAATTATTGTTAAGTATATGAAGATAATTTTTAAATTAAATTGAAGCCTTTTTAATATAGAATTTATGGTTTTTATTGTTGTTTCTCAATTATAATATGGAATTAAAATTTCTGTTAAATATTTGTATTTAAAATATCACATCAACTATATAAAATGAGAGATCATTTAGTTTAATCAAATAAGTTTGTTTCAACAGTATAAAGTAAAATATTAGGAAGATAGTTTTTTATTTTTTTATTTGTCCAAATAATCATAATGTATGTACTATTTTATTTTATCTAAAATTTTGACAAGATTTTTGAAGTTATTAATTTTTAATGCATATTGTGCATAATTTTCGTGCTGCTTTTTAATCAAAGAAATAGGAAAGAAATTGAAATTAAAAGTTTTTGAAATCTTGTTTAAAAAATAAATAACATTTTATAATCTCCTGTTATCTTTTCCATTCGTGTAAAACTTTTGCTGAAGACATTTGGAAGACATTTAGTATTTTTGAATATTTTTTTTTCTTAATTTGTTAAATTAACAAAATAAAAAAATGACATACTCCTTTCCATTTGGTTTATAAAAAAATTTAGTTAAATATTGCATTTTGTTTTTTCTTTTTCTAAAATTGATTTGTTAAACAAATACGATTTACATAATTAAAAAAATTAAAAAAAAATTAATCAACATTTGAAATATATCAAATTTTTTACTTTTAAATAAAAATAAGCAACAAAAACAAATAAAAATTTACAAAATATTATTAATAAAAATAATTACATGATTAAAATTATGATTTATAATTTTAATCATTCATCATCCGCATCATTCAATCAATTATTCAATATTAACATATTACACTCAGAAAACTTAGAAACTATAACTTAAAATTAACCAGAAAAATAAAATACAAAATGGGGGGAGGGGGAGTAAAAATATTTATATAAATTTAAACTAACAATATAATAGAATATTTATACTATTTTATAGTAATAATAATAATAATATAATATAATAATAATTCTTAAACATTATTAACAATTACAATACAATAATCATAAAATTTTTAAAAATAAAAAACTGTATGAAATTATAATTCCAAAATTGCATTATAATCCCTTATATTGGTTGCTCTTACAAATTAAATTAAATGTTCATTACATTTTATTGTTTATGAAAAAATTTACACTCTTTATTACTATGTATTTATTTATTTATAGTTGTTTTGTTAATTATTTCTTTTTTAAATAGTAAACAATAGCATAGCACAGTTTACAAAACAAACAAAAAAAAGTAATTTATATTTATAATAGCAAATTTAAATTTAGAAGGAGAATTAAATTTTTTATACTTTTTTAAAGTTATTAACACATATAGTTTTCCATTATTACAAATTGTTTCTTAAAAAATAAAAAAAAAACTTTTTACATTTTTAACTCTAACTTTAACAACGTTGAGATTTGTTGTTTCCCAATTTCATTTTTGGCCATACGTTTTGTTATAGAATTGTATTTTCTTTTATTTTCTAAGCTTAGCTTTTGAAATTATAATGTTTTTTAACATACAAAGTGGAAATTTTTAAATTTTCATTTTATTCGTATTAGGGGAGTACCCCTGTAATTTCAAATTTATCCAAATGTTTTTGTTTTGGTAGTTTTTTTTGTATGTGTTTGTTGTTGTGTTGTTAGGAAAATAATCCGATTTCGATCTACACTCATGTACAGCATGTTGCAAAGATTAATTTCAACTTTTGGAGAAAAATAATTTCGCTTGAGCTTTTTTGAGTTTGAGTTGCACAAAGCGCAAGTATTTTTCTAGAGTGCAGCACCATCCAGTGTTTTAACCCATTATAGGAGAATAGCTAAAAGAGGGATAAATTAAAAAAAGTTTATTATTTATAACAAATTAATTATATTTATGTATAGTTATTAAGCTTTGTTTCAAAAATTGTTTAAACATAATTACTTCTGTGTAAATATTACATTAATCATATCCTACCTCGTATGAGTAATATTATTTGCAACAGTTAACACTCATACGTCAGTATTTGTGACTTGTTTTCGATCTAAATATGAATCTGTTTTTTTTTTTCTATCGATCTTAAGAAATAAACTATTTTTTAATTATACTATAACTTACCTATTTTGGGGATCGTATTTAATGATTGGTTACAATTAGAGAATTTGATTTGTTTTATTGTTATTCACCAATTTGTGGAGTAACAATTTTATTCAATCATCAAATGGTCCGATACACTTTAATTTGCTTGGTCTCCTTTCTATTTTTTGTCGATCTGTTTTCTTTCTTTTATTTTTTGGTTTGTTTCATTCTCGTTTAAACACCATTACAATCAATTTCCACAATGTCTTTGGGTACATCAACAAATTGATAAACTAAACGTTGACCATCCACTTTTGCCAATATGCCTCTTTGATAGTAGTAGCGTAGAGCTCGTCCCATTGTCTCGTAGTTCATGTCGGGTTTATTCTTATGCATGCCCCAGAGGCGTGAAACGGCCTTCGAATCGACCAGCTTAAAAACACCTTTCTCACGATTTGTCCACTTTATGAAACGTGGACAGTACTCGCGATCTTGCAGGAGTTTAAGTAGAAACTCCCACAGATAGGTAGTGGAACCTTCTCGACTGCGTCGTTTAACGCCCATTTCGATTTTGGGTTTGCGGGGCTTTTTAACTTTACGCTGTTGGAAACCGCCCAACTCTAGCATGTAGGAGAGATCATAGTTAACACTCGATGTGGCCGGTTGTATAACACTTTGTTGATGCGTCAACACGCCATTCGTGTTCAGAACGCCATTACTGGTCGAGCCGACCGTTGGATTGGAGACGGAGGAATGCTGCTGGTGCGTATGCAAAGCATGTTGTTGATGTGGATGTAGGGAATGATGTGAAGCCAAACCGACGTTTGTACGAGGCGGAGATGGAGTTGTAAAGTAGGGTGCACCTGTATAGGAACCATTGCTGGTCAGACCATTTGGCGCCGTAGAACTGCAGGAAACATTGTTATTACCAACTGGGCCATTACTGGAAGTATTGCCGCCATTTGTGGATAAAGGTAAATAGTAATTTTCGGGCACTATATGTATAGGTTGGGGAGAGAGAACAGAGAGAGAAAGAGAAATAAGGGAGGGAAATTAAATGTATTTTTATTTCAATTACACGTGTACTTAATTCGATGTTCAATGCTAATTATTGTCTTGGACTTTTTGTGGGATCAAAAACATCAGTTGATTTATAGGATGCAAAAAATCGAGTCATGAATTTGGAAGAAAACTCCAAAGCGAAAATTTTCTTATTATACATAGTGGTAGACCAGAATTTTAGATAGCTAAGTGAAAATTGGCTCATACATAGCTACCCCTTAAAAAGTATATGTACATACAATCATATACATTGCTACATATGTTTATGGACCCGAGAGTGATTCTTAGATAATGATTGATAAAAAATAGCATTAATTATTAAGAAAACAGAATGCACTACTATAGTTGATCTTTATCTGGAATTTACTTAAAACAATTAAATGTGTAAATTATGGTATTTGAAAAAGCATATAAAAATATGTGTCTTCTTATCTGTGTTAAAACTAACATTTATTCCTGGCTTACTCTAATACGGCACGAATGTACTTTTTGCATTGCAATAGACATTTTAGAGTCCCCAAATAATGTAGAGAAGATGCTAAGCGTCACTTTATTGACTCAAACTAATTTCCCAAATTCAAAGAGTCAATTGAAAAGGTAAGTTTAGGCACTGATTTCGGACTTGGTAAATTATAAAATGCGCGTACTATTTAGGAAATTAGCACACAAATTTTATAATTTATAATACCTTTTTTCAAAAGAACTTTTCAACTATTGATTTCTTAATATGTTTATGTCGTTTAAGTGAATAAAGGTACAAATAAACGATTATACGAACATACATTTAGGTAACACTAATATACATAGGTATTTAAGTAAAAATTTTATTCTGCTCGTAGTTTTACAAGCTTTTCTGTTTTTATTTACTCTCGTTCGTATGTTATATGCATTCATGTATATATGTTGGCGTTTGTACATACATACTACATACGAACATTTCTCGTTTAGTTGGTTTACATCCGGCGTCAAAATTAACGAGGAATGTTACAAAATATACTGCAATAAAAACAAAAGTGTTTTTGCAATTCTCGTGCACAACAGCAACAACAACAACAACACATACTTATTTAAAATTAAAAACAAAAAAATAATAATAAACATGTTAGTATTACTCTCGCTTAAACAAGAATGCATATAAAAAATTATACTAATATGTATAGCAAACAAGAGAGTGTGAGCAGGAAAAATTATTTCTTTAATGAATAAATAACAAACACTACAACTACACAAATAATCTGGAATACTCGTACGCCAGCATTAAGCTTCATAATTTTCTACAAATGGGAAAGGGGGTTAAGGGAACAAACGCATCGTTGGTAAAATACAAAGCACCAACACATGTACTTGCACTCGTTTCCATTCAAACAGAGAGTTTTTAAATGAGAACTACTCCAAAAAGAAATAAAGAAAAGAAACCGCCATACAAATGCAGTTTTTACTTGGAGCCCCTGTATTGTGTGAATTATAAATTTTACTCACTCGCTCTTTTTGTCGTATTTCATACTCTTTTAGTGGATTTTGTGCTCCAACACCATTAAACAAAATACTATCCATGTGCATACGGAGATGCATGTGGTTGTGACCTTCAGAATTTGTGCAAAGGCAATGTGTCGATGACCACAGATTCATACATTCATACGTAAATATGTATAAAAACAAAAACAACGACAATAACAATACTATACATACCGACGTATGTATGTTTCGTTCAATAATAATAAAAAACAGCGAACAACAACAATACGAGTACAAACATTAAGTGCAGTAAAGTCGTTCATTTTGACGTACACATTCACATGTACAAACATACAAACATATTTGATCATTTTTGCATTGTTTACATGCAAACATATGTATGTACATATCCGCACACACTCTCAAGCACACATGCATAAACATTTATATTTAACTCTAGAATTTCTACATAAAGAAAATAATATAAAAATGATGCTAAATAAATACGTATACGTACATGTGTATGTACGTTCATTAGATGCTTTTAATACTCGTTAAACATTTGTTTGTTTGTCTGCCTGTCCGACTGTCTTTCCGTCCGTTAGTCCATTTGTTTGTTAGTTTCTTTGTCTTTTTCCTTTTTCTTTTTTCATTTTAATCGTATTAGTTTAGTGAGACATTAGTGAAGTTTATTTGTTTTTGTTGTTAGTTTTGCCCAGTACGCGACTAAAGGGTGGGAGAAGACTTAATCATCAATTCAATACCATTGTAGTATTGTATTCCGTTTGCTTTAGTCATTTCAAAAGATATGTATTTTGTTTTTCTTTAAGAAAATTTAAACGTAAATACTTATTTTAAGGAAACCCCAATATACTTAAATGACTCAACTTTCAAGAACATAATTCTAAATTTGTTCTAATATTTATTAGCTATTTTTTACTATACATATCTACATATTTCTATTAAAGTATGTATAATTTTTAATACATAATATATAAAAATCCGTTTTTTCAAAATTTGTTTTAATAATAGCTTATTTATTTAGTAAGAACTTTTTGAATATGGTGTCTCGAAATATGTATTTAAAAATTTGTTTTAAATAATTTAAATTGAATTCCAAATTATGTATGTTAATTCTAATAAATTTTGTCATATGTATCTTATATAAATTTAAAAACTAATTTTAATTTAACATGTATGTATATGTATACAAATATTCATGTTTCGCATAGATTTGTTTAAATTAACTTAAGTTTGTTCAACATTATTTGAAAATAGCTGGATTTTTATATGAACCGTTAATTTTGAAAGTGGTATGAGTTCGCTTTCCAAAACAAAAAAAGGGTTAAGGTTGCAGTTTGGTATTAGTAAATGGTAAATACTTTTTATTAAAAATAATAAATTAAAACAAGTAAGAGTGTTATATTCGGCTGTGCCGAATCTCATATACCCACCATCAAACGTATGCCGTAAAAGGAATCTTCCCCTGTAAACATCAGGGCTATGTTTGAAATATGGCTTAAGTCAATTATCTCTTTTGAGCTAACAAAATACATATTAATTTTAATTTAATTTAATTTAATTTTTTAAACTGTGAACATAAGAGTAATTTTCTGTACCCATAAAATGTTGTATATAGATATTGTTTTGTATGTAAATAAGGAAAACTTTTATTTTAAAAAGCTAAACCCTTTCCTGAAGAGAACCTTATATAGGGGCTAGGGTCAGTTATAGAATAATCCCAATTAATTTCAGAATGAAGAATTATGTTCCTAAGTAAAAACATTTTAATATCGATTTTCATCGCTGTACTCGTAGTTTTCTGAAATTTCCTTATCAAATTTTCTGAAGAGGACCTTATATGAGGGGTAGGGTCAATTATGGACCGATCCTCATAACATTTTGTAGACCGATTTTGGTTCATATAAAATTTGTTTACCTTGAATATTATCGCTGTACTCGTATTTTTATACCAGTAATTTGCGTTAAAGTAATTTTCTGAAGGCGGCTTATATGAGGGGTAGGATGAGTTACCAACACATTTCACATGAAATTCGGTAGCAAGATTACCGTTCGTATAAAAGTTTCTTATGTTCATAACTGTATTCGTATTTTTAAAGCCAGCAATGATCATTTAAGTAATTTTCTGAAGGGGACCATATTACTAAATAAGGTAGAGATATTTTGGCTATTATAGAACTTATGTGTGTCGAATTTCATCGTTTTACTCTTATTTCTAAGCCAGTTAAAGTAATTTTCTGAAGGGGACCTTATATGGGGGTAGGGTCAATCATATGTCAATTCTCATAGCGGACAGTAGAGAGGATTTGGCTAGTTAGGACCAATTATGGACCGATGTACATAAAATTTGGAAGAGAGATTTTGGCTCGCGAGGAAATACTTGTGTCGAATTTCATCGCTAAACTCGTATTTTTAAGCCAGTAATGAGCGTTAAAGTAATATATGGGGGATAGGGTCCATTATGAGCCGATTCTCATAAAAGGCAGTAAAGAGGTGTTCTCTCGTAAGAAATTTCTTATGTCAAATTTCATCGCTATACTGAGGGGGACCTTACATGGGGCATAGGGTCACTTATAAGCCGATCTTCAAAAAAATGGTAGAGAGATTTTGGGTCGCATAAAACTTATCTGTGTCGAATTTCATCGCTATATTCGTATTTTTAAGCCAGTAATGAGCGTTATAGACATTTTTTTTAAGGGGACCTTATATGGGAGGTAGGGCCAATTATAGACCGATCCTCATAAAATTTGGTGGAGAAATTTTGGCCCATATGACGAATTTCATCGCTATTCTCGTATTTTTGAAACAGTTATGGGGGCTATCCAAAAACGTGGGCCGATATTGCCCATATTCAATACCAAACAAACCAATAGAGAATATTTATCCAAAATTTCAGCTGTTTAGCTCCTCCCGTAGGGTCCCTATCGTGATTTCAACAGACAGATGGACGGACATGGCTTGATCGACTTAGAATTTAATAAGGACCCAGAATATATATAACAAGTTATAACAAGGGAATTAAAAAAAATATTAAAGGGATTAAACAAAATAAAAATATTGAGAAAAACGATTTTAAAGTTTTGAAAAATTCTAAATTTATATAAAATTCGTATAAGTAGGCCTTATAATTTTCGCTATGGGTAATTTCACGATTATATTAAACAAATAGTTTAGAAAATATACGATGTCAAATTTAATGCTTGTTGAAAATAATCTTAAAAAATGTGATCTTTGAACTTTGATAAAAACTAAACCGTAATAAATTTGGAAATTTTGAGAACTTTAAACTTCGTATTTATACAAAAAATGTATGTACCAAGTTTCATTAAAATCGGAAAATTCTTAAAACGCCCCTATATAAAATAATTACATGTGTAAATATATTAAAATTTTATGAACATATTTTTGGTAAGGGTAGCCAATATGGTAATGCAATTAACACATAAAATTAATTTTCAATATCGAGTGGCTTATCATGTTAAGAATATTATATTCGGCTGTTCCGATGATGTTTTATACCCACAACCAGATCATAGCTTTAAATAAAAAATACTGACTGAGTTTTATAAGAACCCACTCTTGATTTCTTCGTAATGTTACAAACGGAGTGACAAAATTAAAATTGGACCCCTCTTTGAGGTGGTGGATATAAACAAGTAATTTAAAAATTTTAATATTGCGGTAATTTTATTGCATTTTTATAGATATACTACAGATGTATACGTATAGGTAGATATATACTATGTATTTATATTATATCATTTTTTTTTACTTTTCTTTTTGAAATACCAACAGGATTTATGTACAACTCAGTATATGTATATATTATTAATTAAATTTTTCGATTAATATTGTTAGTAATAAATTTCGAAATGTAGACTGGTTTTAACCCGTATTTTGTATTTGTTTTATGTACACGTGTTTGGAAATTAATTATTTATTCATTATTATTATTTTTTGAGTAAAAATTAAAAGAAATGTTCTGTATTTATATTTTTTCGGCCTAGTATTTGTCAATATTAAACATTTATATAAACCTTGACCCAAACCTTGTCCAAAAACAATATTTTTACATTTTAAATTATATACAAAGGTTTTCTTCAATAAGGTTTTACTCACTTCCAACACCACGATTCCAAATATTCCTTATTTGAGAATTTTGATAAAGATTCGGATGTAGAAATGTGCCCGATGTTAAATGGTTTGTATGCGTATTACAATGTGGTGGCAAACCCAGACGAGCCTTAAGCTCATCACTGCACGGTTGGCCACCTGAACTAGAGCTATCGACATCGGAAACCCCACTATCGGCCGGACTTGGAGGAAATGAACCTGTTATTTACACAAGTGAAAAAGATAAAAGAGAAAGAACGGGAAAAACAAATAAGGGTTTTTGGTGGTTTAAATATGGGTTTTTGAATTTGATTTTGTTTTTTTTTTCTTGAGCACATTAAGTATTTTTTAAAAACACACATACAACAAATGAAGACGGAAACACGATTTATTTAAACTACCTGTTGTTCCTGCACCATAACTCCTGTGATGTGTTGTATGCAGTGAGCCACCGCTTAGTAAATTATGCAAGAGTGGCCGGTGTGGTATATTCAATGACTGTAAATTGGTATTGGGTCCTGTTAAGCTGCCATGTTGCAAATTGACGGCACCAAGTTGCGACTGTTGTTGTTGTTGCTGCTGTTGATGTTGCGGTGAGGTCAAAACATTTTGTTCTGATTTAATATTAATGACAGTGGTTGATCCCGTGAACGATGTTTGATTTGTGGTCTGCTGTTGTGTTGTCACATGTGGCTGTTGTTGTTGCTGTTGTGGATGAGGCGTTTGTTGTTGATGATGTGGAGGCAGGTGTTGCAAATGAGGTCCCGGACTTGTTGATTGTTTGATAATAGGAATTTCTGTATCTGAAATTAAATAAATTGGAAGGGAATTGTTATTTACATTTACATATCATAAATTTGTATGGTATTTCAACATTTTAGGTCATTTACTAAGGCCTAATAGTCTCCAATGGTTTAAAGGATTCTTGATTACATCTCTTCGTAAAGCCAACACCCTAAATTGGACTTTTAACTAACTACTATTGTTATAAACTACACAAATATTTAATATTTATTTAAAGAAACATTTACAACCAAAAATAGATAAAAAAGTTCCATAATAGAAAACCCTTACCAATATTTGGTTTAAAGCTATTTTATATAAAATTTAAATAAATTTAGTTTTTCTTAAAATAAAAAACAAATTTTTTGTGGTTTAATTATTATTTTTAAATTTAAAAAACCTCATGACTAATTTCGATTTCATTTTCATTTCACTAGTGACTTTCTTTTACAGTTTATTGTTGTTGCAACAACAATTTTTACTTTTGCTTTTCACCGCATGCAACAACGATGGATGGATGGACGTATGGCAAGCGATGCAGTGAAGCGACACTGCAACGGAAAAATGTTTCTTTAGTTTTTTTTCTGAATAAAAGTAAAAGTGCATTTTCACTGATTTCTTTGGCTTGGCAGATGCATAAAAATGAATAACAAAAACATAGCTATTCAAAGGTAAAACTCAAAAACATTGTAATAGAATCAAATAAAAAGAAACAACAACAAATCAACCAACCAGTCAGCCAGCCAGCCAGCCAGCCAAACAACTCGTCATTTTCAATTTCAACAGTCAGGTTGTATGTTGCATGTACTGACGAGTACGGCTATAAACATTGTTGGAAAGGCTTTTTTTTCTTCGTTATTTGCTGCTGTTTCATGTGCGAAATAAAAGTTTGCAATAAAGTTTTTTAACTCATTCAGCCCCTTCAATGATTTGTATACACAAACACATAAATTACATACATATGTACGTACATACATATTTACACATACACAACACCCTCTCTTAAATGCCCTCTTTTGTGCGAGTCCTCTCTTTCCCCTTCTTAACCTAAAAATATTTGAAATGTATTTTCGCTGATGTTGGTGTTGTTGTTAGTAGAGCTTTACAAGCAACTACAACAACAGCGGATGCTTGTTATTGCAGCGATAGTGTACAAGTACCAACTACAAATGCAATAACAGGCAGCCGCAAGTACGCGAGTGTAAAACAAATTGCTGTAAAACGCTTTTTTAACTCTCCATTTTTACATGTATGTATGTGTATGAACACAAGTAGCGAGCCTCCCCAAAATACTCCACCACACTGCCGATCCCATCATGTGGTTTAATTACAAAAACAACTATAAAACAACAACTATAAAAACAACAATTGGCCGAGAGAGAGGAAGAGAAATCAGGTCAAGGCTCGCTGTCGTAGTCGGCATAGTGTGCACACGAGTCTAAGGTATAAGTTTGTTTGTATGTTTGTTCGTATTTAGCAGCAACAGCAGTAATTCACTCGTTTTCTTACAATTTATGCTTTGTTGGTTGCATTATTATTGCATGTTGATTGCTATTGTTGTTGTTCATGTTAGTTTAGGCACATATTTCTTGTTGTAGTTGTTGTTAGTTTGCTTGTTTGCTATTCTTGCTTTGCCAGTTAGTTTGGTTTAGTTTAGTTTATGTTTTCATTAAAAGTCTCCAAATAAAATCAAATCAAATGAAAAAGATTTAAATAAATTCAACAAAATTAAAATGCATGTTAGGAATTTTTTACTTAATGCATTTGTTTTAATGTAAATTCAACAATATACATACATTTGTATTTTTATGTATTTTTAATCCCAATGTTTATGTAAATTTCTTAATGTTGTTTGTTGGGGATTTTTTATGAGTGTTAATTAAAAACCATTGAAATTAATAAAAAATTAACTAAATTTATATTTTTACATACTAAATTATTTCAAAACTTAAAAAAGTAACTTTTAAATGTTAATGCGATATACGTATTGTCAAATATTTAACTACTTTCAAAAGGTTAAAAATGGTGTCCATTAAATGTGCACGAAAGTGTAAAAATATGATGTTACGAGACTCAAGAATTTTTCATACTTCTTCCATATCTTCTCATTCAAAGTTCGCCTAATAAGGACCTGTTGATGTTTATAACTATTTTATAACTCCATGATTCATAATATAATTCTAATATTTCAAACCACATATTTAACATGTTAATAAAATAATAAATTAATACAAACATATTATTGTTAAGAACACAATTTATATAAGAGAAATCATTTTTGGAATAACAATATCTAGATATTGCTAAATCAATATAAATTGATTATCAGTTTTTTTTTAATTCTTCATCTTATGGTATAAATATTATGTTTGTGGATTTTTTGATATGACTGTTAAACAAAAATTCGTGATATTTTATACAAAAAAAAAAAAAAAAAGATTTTAGCTTGAAACCAAAAAACACCTTCTACAATTCACATTTTATTAGTTATTTACTTTTAAAAATGTGCAGCACGTACATTTTTTCAATAGTTTCAATTTAATTATATTTCATAATAGATTACAATCATTCATATAAAATACAAGTATCTTTGACAAAAACAAAAAAACAAACAAAACAATGCACATTATTGTTTTTTTTTGCAATTCTTTTTGTTCACTTGTTGGTAATTTTACCCAAAATACTGTCACGTGTTAGTCATGATTTCTTAGAAAAATTTTGCTGTTTTTTAATGGATGGATGTTTTTTATGTAGTTGGTGGCGTTGCTTACCCTTGAAGTTGTTTGTAAACAATTAACCTTTATTTAAAATAATAATAAATAAAAATTAAAAAAGAAAAAAAAAAAAAAATAACACAATTACAAAAAAATTTGCAAATTTGTATAATTTTAATTTACTAATATTTTCGGTTTTAAATTTAGTCACATAAATAATTACAAGCATTGTATATGACAACATATAGATGTGATCTTGATAATACATATATTCGATTTTATAAACAATTTTGAAAAAATATAAAATTTTGAAGATTTGCGTTCTACAAAGATTAGAGAGTTAAACTTAAACCCCTAATCCTAAGTATAGATAATTCACAAGGAACCTGTACCGAATACAAAACATTGGTTTGAAGCGAACATTGGCCGAAAAAACGACCAGAATTCATTTAATCATTTTTAAAGCTCAATAAGGCAACCTAGTTACTACTATCTGCTATATAAATCTTGTAATATATTCCTTCAAACTGATGATTTTTAAACAATTTTTAGATTTCGTGTTAGACAAAATTTTTAATTTTAACTAACATTTAAACTTTTGGTGTATATTACACACTCTCTACACTATCTTAAGAAAAAAAAAACTAACATCTGTTAAATTATTGCAAATTTCCGACAATAATAAAACTAAAAACAAACAAAAAAACAATCGCTTAAAATTAATCAAAACCAAATTTAAAGAAAACATAAAAAAATGAACGGAATAAAATGAATTTTTTATTATTATTATTTATACTCATATAAATAAATAATTTTTTGTTTTTAGCTTGGACTTGAAATTTGTTAAAAAAAACACTACGAAAGAAAGAAAAAATATAAACTGTTATGTATACAATTTGCGGTTAAGCCGGTTACATCATATCCACACACAGTTTGGATAGTAGGTCAATGAATAATACGTATAAAACAGAAAAAAAGAAACAAAACAAAAAAAATATATTTTATTTATTTTGTTTATTTTGGCTATTTTAGGGTTTAGTAGTTTTTTGTGAGTGTGAAGTAACCAGAGAGCACGCGCAGAAACTTTAAACTCATTTTTGGCTTAAACCGAAAAATATACGACGAAGAAAAAAGTGGCGCAACATATTGACACATAATTTTTATTTAGTGGAAAGAGCGGAAATGAGCAGAGTAAAATAGTTCGCTGGTTTAACATTTATTTAGGCAATAAATTAAGCCGAACTTTGCTTTAAACCGAGTCACAACAACTCAACTAGTTGGTTGTTTATAAAAAGATAATGAAGGAGAATAGTTCCAGTTTTTCAGTAAAAAGAAAAGGTGCTAATTTTAATAAATATGTATTTTATGTTTAATTCCATTACAAATTTAATGGTACATACTAAATAGATTTGTTTTTCTTATGCCACGCCCTTTTATTAGAGGTGTAACAGGAAGTTTTGTTGAGGCTCTACTCTTTTTGCATAACGACAGTTAATGTAGAAAACATCTAGTTGTTTTTGTTTTAAAAGATTGTGTTCTCTTTTTTAGCTTTGATTTTTATTTTTAAACTTGTAGTTAGAAAACTATCAAAGGGCATTATCGAAGCAACAAGTTCATAATACTTAAAATACAAAATTCATTCAATTTCAATATTGAAATTCAACTCAAATTTCAGTATTTTCGGGTATTTTACACTTATGTACATATGTATGTATATACATACATACATATTTTATATACTGATGTTGATCACCACACTCTTAATTTTTGGTTGCTGTTGATATTTCACTTGACTTTAAAATTTAAACCATTCCATACCACTTAATTTATTAAAGTTAAGTTTTATTTTGGTTGTTTTGGCTGTTTTGGTTATTATGCAATTCTACCTCAACATATCAACAAAACAAAATAATATGGTAAAAAAATATACACACTCTCAAACGACAAAAAAATAACATCAATAATAAATTAAAATTTTGAAAACAAAAATAAAAGAAACAACAATTTTTAAATATAGACTACTTTGGTATATTGACCTGCCATTAGACTTGAAAAAATCGCAACAAAAAAAAAAAAAAAAAAAAAAAAACGAAACGAAAAAACCGTTAACTTTTGAAACATGCTACAATAAAAAGCAACAGTAAAAAACACATACACTCTTAATCGAAAACGTCAAAGTGAATTTCAAATTATCAAACTATTTTGATGGTTAAAAAACTTGATTTTAGTCGTTACTCTTTGAATGGCAAATATTTGCCAAATTTTTTGGTTTGTTTATTGTTTAAAGGTATAAACAGAAAAGAGAA